AGTCAAGGCTTATATTATTATTTTTAATCATTTTTATTTATTTAATTTACCTTGGATCCAGTACAGTTGAGATGCAGTAGAGGGGGGGGGGTTTCTCCGCATCAGTGAAGCGCCTCTTGACAGCTGCAGCCAAAGTGGACTTCATTGTTTTGATCCTGTGATCTTCACCAGTGTCTTTGTTTAGGAGTCTCAGAAGCACGGTCACAGCAGGGATGACGTCTTACTACTGTCACCTGAAAATACCTCCACACCGCTGACATAACGCCTCCTCTACAAACTGCTTGCTTATTAAAGTTTGTTCAGCTCGGCTAACGTGGTCGTCGTCTTCTTCTTCTTCTGTTTTTTTTTTATGCGGCTGGCATTAAGTCTGTTGCGCGATTCCGCCGCCTGCTGATTTAGAGCGTCTTTGCACAAACTGAGCGAAATGAAGCTGGTATCGGGTCCTGTAGTATCGGAGCACTTTTATAAGTACGAGTTAACGCACATGGTATTGGACCAATACCCGATACTGGTATCGGTATCGGTGCATCCCTAATCTGCACCATACGGTTGACTCTCATAAATAAATTTATAAATCACCATCAATACACAGCAAGCTTTCATTTACAAATACTGTTAACACAGCAGGATCCATATTTTTATCCTTGTCTGAAACATCTAGGCGGGACAAAGATATAGGAAACTTCACAGTTTTTATTGGACTGAGGTTGTTTTAATCACCTTTTAGGCGTGTTGAATAAGACTGAAGTTGGCTCAGTTTATTGCTCAGCTTTAAACCATAAACGCTCAAACCCAAAGTGAAAACATGTTTAAATGCCCCACGAGTTAAGAAAACCAAATATTCATGTTTCAATGTATTTAGAAGAGTTTCAGTACTTTGTAATTTGGTAATGTTGACTGAAATTAATTTATAAAGCGGTATGTACATTCAGGTCAAAAGTCTGTCTATATTTACACACACTTTTGTACAATATTTGTTTTTACATATGTGACCCATCACATCGAAACGAGGATAAAGTCCAAAAGAGGTTTATGGAGAAATAGGCGAATATAGTGTTTTGACTAAAATGTTAAAGGGACAATATCATGTAAAATCAACTTTTTTGAGTTTTATATCATGTTATAATGTTATACTCTCATAAAAAACATGCCCAAAGCCTTGCTCTGACTCATTCATGCATGTTTGAGAAATCCTGCAGCGTTTTTATGAAGCCATGCCGAGGAGCAAAACGACAGGTGGAAACCAGAAACGCCTCTGGGATAGGGGTGTAAGAAAATATTGATACACTGAAATATTGCGATATTTCATTTCCCGATACTGTATCGATATTCTAAAGCCCTGTATCAATTTTTTTATTAAGGTTTAAAATGTCAACCTTCTTGCCAGCCGTTCATTTTTATGTTGTATTTCTGCCTCTGACCACTAGTTAGCAGCAGTGAGCCAGACATTTGGCTCCTCTACCTCTTGAGCGCCAGAGAGTAAGAGAGCATTAGCATTGTAAGTAAACATTAGCTTTTCTTTTTCTTTTTATTTCAGTAAGAGGTTTTTATTTAATAGAATTTTTGGATAAAAAAATCGCAATATATTGCCTTGCTTACAGTATCGCAATATATCGGGATATATCGTATCGTGACCCCTCTGTCATGATATGTATCGTATCGCCAAATTCTTGCCAATACACAGCCCTACTCTGGGACGTGTCTTTAAGCCGAACGTCCTCATGGCAGAGGACACCCCGTCCCCTGACACCTTGCCCATGACTCCTGCAGGCTCTCTGGTCAAAGTGAAAGTTAAACCTAGCTTCTGAGCTCTCAACATTAGTTCTCACTCAGTGAAGCTCTTTTCAGATTAAAAATACCTTTGAGGAAACGTATTTTCAGATGCCAAGTAAACTGCATCATAGCGCACACCTGAGAAACATAAAATAGGCCCTTTAACAGAAATTGCATTTTGTCAAAATATAATGAAATAAAAGCCTTATCAATGTATCATTTGAATGAACTGTCTGAAATATAATCATAAAACAAAAATCTGAAGCACTTTTTTGAGCAGTAGCAACAAAAAACCTGATTTTGAGGAAAAACACCTTAAAATTTTGAGATTTTCCCTGTGAGTTAGCAAAGTTTTGTTTCTTTTTATCTGGGAAATCTCAATATTCAAATAAAATTTGAGGGTTCCTCTTTAAAAGG